ATTTATTAAATATTTTTGTTTTTCAACTTTAACTTCGTTGGATTATCAGAGGTCTAAACAAACCCGATATTTCCCTTTTAAAATAGAAAGAGATTGAGTCCTCAATCTCTTTTTCTGCAGCCCCTGTTATAAATGAACAAGAAGCCTCTATACTGAGTGTTCCTGTTCATTCATAAATTGTGGATATAGTGTGAGTTACTATGTACACAATCATGAATGAATAGGAAGTGATGTAGATCATTGCCTATTCATTCATAACTGGTACATAGTAACTCACACTATGTCTAGTTATTTACAAGCAGTCAGCGATCACTGATCGCTTGTATCACTCTCCATTCTGACTTGCTGTCACAGGAGGCTGAGCAGGCGGTGCGGAGAGGAGAGCTGACAGCTGACTCCTCCCCCCTCAGCACCGGCTCAGGCTGCTGTGACAGCGCATGGCTGTGTCCGCCCCCACAGGGACAGGGTAGAGCAGGCGCCCTGGAGAGTGCTGAAGAAGACATTACGGTAGGGAGTTATGGGCACAAAGAGCGCAACAAAGGGCTAGCAAAAACACCATCCCCTCCCCTGGTTTAAAAGCAGATCCATCCAGGACACTATCTGCATGTTCTTCCCAAGCTTGTGAGGGTTTCGTCCGGGTACTTCAGTTACCTCCCACACTCCAAAGACATGTGGGTAGATTAATTGCCTCCTGTTAAAATTGGCCCTGTATGCGAGATAGATTTTAATCTCCTTGAGGGCAGGGACTGATTAGAACTGTGGAGGTGCAGGAGGATGCCTATTGGGCCAACACAGCAGTGGTAACCCAAAGCAGCTGTAGCAGAGATCTGGGTTCCTTCAGCACAATGCTTAGTCACAGCAGCTCAGTGCATGGCAGGAGAGCAAAATGGTTGGCACATGCATAGTAAGAGCAAACAGAGGGAGCCTGTGCAGGTACCCTGCGACTTCCCAGGCCACCCATGAGCAAAGGGAAAAGACACCAAAACAAAAAAGGAGTGCATCGACCCCCCTGCACATCGTAAACCCAAACTGAACCACGGGTGGAAGGGGCACAGCTGGGTACCTGAGCAGGAACAAGGCCTGACTTATGACCCTCAGAGCAGTGGCTGACTTGGCAATGCAGTCACTTAAAGGGGACATGTCCTATCCAGTGTTTGTTCTCCTGGTGGGCATAGCCCCCGAAGGAGGCTTCTAGGGACAGGTTCCATAGTCCTAAACTGTAAAGCACCCTGAAGCAACTACACGCGCAGCACAAAGTGCCAAGGAGAGTCCCCTATGCATCATACAGTGCCCTAAGTACATTATAGAGCAGCTCCACAACGTTCTTTCAGGGGGTTCGGGTACCGTCTACCCAGGCTCTGCTGTGGAGAAAACCAATCAAGATAGCTGCTGTTAAGTGCAGCAGTGCCTGTGATAAGCATTAGAGCACTAGAAGAATCTTCAGTAGAAAGAGCAAAAAAAAAAAAAATGTAGAAAAAGAAGGCACCCATCATCTTAGGACACTAGCGGAAAAAACAAATTGTGGATATAGTGTGAGTTACTATGTACACAATCATGAATGAATAGGAAGTGATGTAGATCATTGCCTATTCATTCATAACTGGTACATAGTAACTCACACTAACGCACATTATAGAACAGCTCCACAACGTTCTTTCAGGGGGTTCGGGTACCGTCTACCCAGGCTCTGCTGTGGAGAAAACCAATCAAGATAGCTGCTGTTAAGTGCAGCAGTGCCTGTGATAAGCATTAGGGCACCAGAAGAATCTTCAGTAGAAAGAGCAAAAAAAAATGTAGAAAAAGAAGGCACCCATCATCTAAGGACACTAGCAAAAAACAGATGCAGGCCAGGATTTGCGAAGGGGTCATTTAGGACTGTCCTAACAGCTTTGATTTCCCAGTGTTCAATCACCTGAAGGTAGCTGCCTAACCCATCCACTCAAGATATAACTCCATGTGACCTGTGATCTACAATCAAGAAAAGGTGCAGTGAAGACTGTGGATTTAAACTTCACCTGATAATTGTATAGTACTTTGGTATTAGATCTAAAGGTGTATCTAAATAAAACATGTAATAGATTGCAGCTTACCAGTCCTCAGATGTGGTGGCTGCATTTGTTTTCTTTTCTTAGCTTTTTCCTTTATTTTCCCCAGGCGAGCCAGCAAATAACACACTTCCTAAACTCGCTCACTGTACTGTATACAGGGACAAGCAACATTGTCAGCCAAGGACAGGACAACGGAACACTTACCCTCTCTTCTTCTCCATAACAAGGGTTAGTCCACAGAGGTAGCTGGAAACAATGCCAACTTATAACAGTCTTCATGTATTTTTGTACTTTTTGAACAGAGATATCACAAAACACTTTTAATTGTATTTTTAAAAGACAAATAGGGAGCAAATATGGTTTACATACAGTGTAAATACTCTGAGTTGCTAAATCAGTTGAGATGAGAAATTGTTCATCATCAGTGATCCAGAAGATACTAAATCCAATCCAATTTTTAGATGGAGAGGACAGCAATGGCAGCCTCTCAGTACAGGTGTTCATTGCACATACAAATGCCTGAGGATTGTACAAAATATTTTATAATATGAGTTCTATTGGATGGCACCACCCTGGGGCATGGTTATGCAAAAGTGCATTGACAACCAACGGGGCCCTTGTGCTGCTGAGGGTTAATCCCATCAGTACGCTGTTGCTCTATTTCTGTCCAGTCAGCAGGCTGGGTGAAGAGAGAGAATAGCACTATATTCCTTAACTGTAAGGGATGTCATCCACCAGGCTGTGTAAGGTAAAACAGCTCCAGTGTCTATTTTAGGGCTGCAACCAATGAAATGATTAATCAATAGTAATTGGTAATGAGAATAATCGTCAACGATTCTCATTATCGATTAGTTGGTCTGGGTCCACCTAGTTCTCTCCTCTGCAGTGGGAGCTGGTGTTTCATTGACTCTGTGTCCCATTTGATCCGCGCTGCTCCCAGCAGGAATTGGAGTGGACACAAACCCCTGCAGCTGGTGCCCAGTGTTGAGGAGAGCACCAACAAACTTCCTCAACCCCCAAAAATATATGTAAAAGATTTGCTGATCATTTCCTGTAATATTCAAACATCACAGTGATCAGTATTGATGACTATGATGGATGTAAATAATTGAGGCCATAGTATTATTCAGATACTGTGTCCCCAATTATGAACAGAAGGTGCTCCATATCACTTCCTGTTCATTCATGATTGTGGACATAGTATCTGTTTACAATCTCCTCAATTTATACATGAACGGGTAACCCCTGTACTGAGTGCTTCCTGTTCATTGAGTGCTGGAATGCAGAAAAAGAAATTGAGGACTCAAGGAGCTGGGTAGGGAGATGTGTAAGGGCCATACACATCTCCCCGCCCAGTTCTTAGCAACCTGTGACGCTCTAGTCGGTGTCCTGCCCAGCTCCTGGCAACCAGGGACATCACTGGTTGCCAGGAGCTTGGCGGGATGGCAGTGGCGCAATCTGTTGTAGATACGCCTCTGTACCTTGACGTTCTAAAGTTGTACACAGAGGTGAAACTATGAAAGACTATTAATGACATAAATAGCAGCAAAAAGACACTACTACTTCAGAACAGATTCCATACACTTTATTTCTAACAATTCCAAAAAAGGCTGATTCATTTCACATATAGATTTATTTAATATATAAAAAAGGAGACTTCACATGTGAAGATTTTGATACAACTTATTCTGGCCAGGCCCAACTGGGCAAGCTCAGTGTAAAAAACAAAAATAAAATAAAATAAAAAAAAAAACCATAAGGAAAAAGACATAAGGAACTAGTTTTGGAGACAGAAGAGAGGCTGGACATTGCTATAAAGGGACATCAGAAACAATGAGAACGTACTGCAGTAAAAAGCATACAAAAAACTCACTGAACTGTCATTTTCTGAATTCAGGAACATCAAACACCTGTAAAACACTGTTGGCAATATATAATTAGAACTAGAACTTCTGAAAGCTTACTTTGGGTTCTGCTACATCAGTTGGCAAACTGGGGGATATTAATAATCATTGAGTCATGAAACCAATGAACATGGAAATCCTTTCAGAAATTCACCGGCACCAAATGTGCGCTTAAGGTGAACCTGTGGCCAGACTACGGACATAGAAATGTTTATACATTCTGAACAAGCAATAAATCAGTTTAAAACAAGCCCTCGCTGACTTTTGTAGCTGCAGGCCCTGTGGAGTAAGTGCACCTCAAAGTGTACAAGAGAGGTCCTGACATTGCGGCTTTGAAGCCTACCAGCCTTCTCATGTAAACAAACAGCAGGTGTTGTATGTAGTTCAGAAACACTGCAGCCTGATTTCAGACTCTCTGTTGTGAACTATGAGGATGAAGTGTTCCACATTGCCCGCAGCTACAGGGGTCAGTGAGGGAAAGAACATAAAAATAGTTGATAATCCACAGCCCAGCCACACGTTTACTTTATTTTCTGCTTCAAATTGATTTTAGACTAATTTTATAAATGCACCAAGCCAGTGTTCTCAAACTAGTAAAGATAATGAACATGAGATATCACAATGTTAAACTTTTATGGGAAAGAAACGTAGTAGGCTTATAAGCACTCCCTTCCAAACTCATTGAAATGGTTTTAAATTGTTACCTACATATGAACGCACCACCTTATCACCTTCCACTCTCTTAATACCAAAGTCTGCATACTGAGACTGATGTATAAAACTGGAGAAAAACTGAAGGTGTGGCCTAAAGCAAATACTTGTGCTCGTCTTCTACACGCATACGAAAAACAACAGCTAGAAACTGAACACAGGGGGGAATACTTTTACTTTTCTGGTTCCACACATCGGCACTGCTGTTGCTTACACACTATCACTGCCCAAGTGTGCAGTACTCTAGTACCTAACAACAAATCCAACTGAAAGAGTAACAGCTCTTAACTGATCGTTAGATGGATGTGAACTTTATTCTGAACATAAATAACTGAAACAGACAATTTAAACAAATGCAGAACGACAAAAGTTTAAAAGAACTTGTTAGTCTCTAGAACATGTAACGAGCTTGTGGTATAAGGAACTAAGGACACACATCTTTTGTCAGTTTCCTTGTTAGCGTATGAACTTACCCATGCAGGCTGCAATACTTAAAGTGCGGGCATTTTTTTTCCATAGTGGAGAAGTTTAGGCCTCGTTTTCAGGCTTGCCCTTAACCATGACGGTTTTATAGTAAAATTCAACATTGAAGAGAAACTTAATTGTCTCACTAATAAAGACAGATCTGATTGCAAGAAATTAGGCTATTAATTAATGCAAAACAAAAATCCTTTTCGGACACACAATACTGAAATGATTACTTGCATGAAAGCACAATCTAATTGAGTTTATGAATTACTTTAAGTGAGACAAGAGAACTTGATCACAAATCCTACACTAGAATGCTGCTATTTCTGATATCACATTAAACGTAGAGAATTCTTTAGGCATTCTAATGAGGGGGGAGCTTAAGCAGAACCCTGTTGTGTTCAAGACCGTTGTACTCAAGGCTGGCCCCAGGTAAGTGTTATCCACAGCCGCCAATCTGCTCACAAGGAATTGTCTCTCAGCAAGTGTCTTTGTTATCTTTCATGGAAGGTTGTGTTCCTTAATCGGCATGTCACAATGATGACCAGCTTCTGACTCACCTCTGAAAATTTTGAAGCGCTTATCAAGATGCGGCTTGTAGATGGGAAAACGGACATTATTTGGCCCCGATAAAATATATCATCACAGAAGAAATCTCTTGCATCCCATTATGGATGGGCAGCAATCCTTAAGTAGGAGGTTCTAGAAATTATATAATACCGAGTCTCTCAGAGGAAGAAAAACTCTGAGGCTTTGTAGCAAGTTCCAAAGGAATGAAATTTTTTTTCTTTGTTTAAAAGTGCTCAGCTTCACTAGGATTCCGTTGTATGAATATATATTGATTTATAGCAGTATATATAAAAAGGAGTTTTGAGTAGCCTGGGAGTCAGGCTTGCAGAGGTCATGGCTGCAAAACGGGTGCTATATTAAGCTGACAGTTGGGACAGTCTCCATCCTCAGCAGCGCATGCTTTACAAAGCACGCCGTGTTGGCACTGTAGCATCGCTCTATTCTGGTCCTGACACTTGTGACATTTAACTGATTGGAGCTGGTAAACTGCCTGCAAGGAAACACCAAAAGACAGTGAGATCAAAATTTGGTCATAACAGTAGCAAAATAAAATTTCTACGTAAATTGTATAGAAAAAGTAAAATGTCTGACCATCACACCAATATGAGATTGTTGGACATCCCATTCCAAAACCAAACACATTAAAGCACCTAAAAAGCAAGGTCCGCTTCTTCAATGGGCTCTCCCCAACCTAATTAGCTGCAAAAAATGTCACAAAGACACCTCCGGGTGAAAAGAAGTTAGTTCATATACTCCCTTACCCCTGTGGTGCCTAGATGAAGTCCCCATATTACATCTTCTTGGTAGAATGCCGAGTAGCCCAAATCTCATTTGAAGATTTTACTGCACTGTACTATAGTATGATTTTGGCATTCCCTGGGATCTTATTGGAAAAATAGTGATGCCCACCTCTGTAGCTATAATCATTTTCCCCCCATGGGTTTTATATTTTTGCCCAGGCAAATAAGATGGAGTATGTTGTGGTATGACCCCTCCAAACACCCACCCCCCGCCCCCCCCCACTCCAAAATCATCAAACAATATTTATTCTATATAGTGTATAAAAAGACTGCCCACTTTTGGAAATGCCAAATCTTTTAATTTGACATGTACTTGGCTCTAGGTCTACAACATCTAACTGCAGAGAACAGAGAAAACAGGAAAACAGAGAGAAGAAAGCAAAAGTGACTGTGTTTTGTACAAGAGGTAGAAAGGAAAGGCAAATGTGACTGCTCCCATTTAATGATTTCAACTTCTGTCTGCATATTCTAAAAAGGGTCATATAGGGAACAGGCTAAACAGGCCAGCCTAGTCTTCGATTTGCCTGGTAGAAGATGCAAGCCCTTCCTCTGGAATTCATAGAACTGCACGTATAGGGGGAAAATGTGTATATATGGCAGTGGGCAAGAAGCCCTACACTCCATATATAACTTAATGTGATATATAGCCAGATAAAACTCTGCAATATGGACATGTCAAAGATTACCAGATACGTGCAAATGGAGGAAAATGAAAACTCTGCTCAATAGCCACCTCCAGGAACACTTTGTACAGCAGGTAAAACTAAACTTTTACTGTAGAAAAATACAAAAGACAGAACACAAGGACATGGTTTATAGGAAAACTGTAATGCGTTTTCAGTAAGCACATATTTAAATCTGACCTCCAGGCAGATATACAAGGCACACATGAGTGTGGCTCTGTGTTCAATAATAAATCATTACATATATTTGTAAAAGCAACTGGTGTAAGTACCTGAATGTGAACTGGTATCAGCTTCTAGCAATCGCCGATACAGTAAAGCCCAGACTGGGATTGGGAGGGACAGGACTAGGGGGGCAATCAGGTGTGCTGTATGCAAATAGGTTCAAAAGGATCTGATAGGAGGGGAGAGCAGATTGGGAACATGGATGCTCTCATCCGACTGCTGATGCTCTTTCACTGTCCAAGCAGGTGGCTGGGGATGAGGGAGGACACTACTGTATTCCTTAACTGTAAGAGATGTCATCCATCGAAGTGTGCTGTGTCCCTCTGTAAATCGCAGGATTGGTTAAACAGGAAAACAAAGCATTTAGCAGGTAATCGGATCCCGTATGTGTATTTTTATCTCTGTATTTAGCGGTTTGCCTGGAGTTCAGCTTTAATATATTTCTGTCATTTTTACCTTTACATAACTCTCGCTGTAACTTTCACTCTTTGAATATAGCTGCTGCTACTATATCCATGGCTGCAATGGACATATACATTTGTAGATTCTGTCTGTATTCACTAAAACACTCAGCTTCCCTGAATAATATCTGCAGAGATAAAAGTAATCACACCTGACAAGTAGAGTGCAATGACCAGGGAGAAAAAAGTAAGGCACAACCATTGTCCAACACTTCTAAGAAGAGTATTGCATATGCAATAACCAAATATAGCTGCCATCATGTACATAAATAAATGCAAAGTTTACACAGCATCAAGACTTTAAAAACGAAAAGATTTATAAAGAAGTATGATTTCCATTAAGTTGTTAAAGAAATATAGAAAGACTTTACCTGAAGATAAGTACCCCATAAAAGGCCCAGTTTATTCAGAGTACATTTAAAATGGTTCTTTGTAACACTTTGTAACACTAATTAGAAAAGTCAGATAGCAGTGGCACTTGTAGTTCCTTGAGAGAGCATTTAACTCACCGCCTACTGGACAGGTAAGTATTCATTATGTTATACTACAGAGTGGCTCTGGTTTTATTTGACAATAGGGTCACTTTAAATGAAAAACTAGTCTAATTTGTAAGGAAGAAATTGTCACATTTTCTTGGTACAAAAGTACTACTGTGCACTACCTTGCCCTATCAAGGCATATTGATTTTGTGCAAAAAAAATCATACATCTCATCAATCATACATAAATATATTCTTTTTCATCATTAGTCTTCACTCACATTGGTTTGTCCACAGTTAAAAAAGAATGGAAGCCAAACCTAGTTCTCTTTTGGGTCACAGGAGTGCATTTACTAATGGCCTCCTGTGACCCAAAGTCAGTATCTAGCGGTCTCCTGCCCACTATATGCTGACAGCGCAGAGCCGTGCAACAGCCGGGAAAGATCCCAACAGTATTGTCAGGTCCACCCTGCTGCATGACTGACAGCTGGCTCTGCCTCTCTAGAGCCAGCTGTGCCCGCCTCCTCCCCGTCTGCCCCTCCAATGAGCACTAGAGAGAAAGTGGAGGGAGAATCCCTGCGGAGAGCTGTGATTGACAGTCACTGCTCTCTGCATAGAGAAACTGTTCGCTGAGTAATGGGTGGTATGTGATCGCTCAGATCCCGAACTATAGAGCCAGCATGTGACAGCTGCAATGTCGGCCTCTGGTTTAAACTATGGGGAAGAATACCTCTCCCAATAATTCTCCTTTAAGGATAGAGATGAAGACGAACAAGCACAAAGACAAAGTCTTTAGAACTTTTTAGTTTTAAACTATAGTGAGAATTCTAATTCTAAAGTGTAATTCTTGGGCACTACTGCCAAGGACTGCTAGTTTCCTGAGATTTGGCTTAATATTTGGTGATGTCATTACTGTGATGCTCACTGTTCTTGCTGGAGGCTCTGACATGAGGAAGCAAAGCCCTGTCTCTACCAAGATGGCCGCCTGCACAAAAAAAAGTGCAAAACAAGGCATAGAAAGTCTGTATCATAATGAGGAAAAGATCAGCTGCAGGTAGACCACAGGCAATACTAATGACTAGCCATTTGCCATATACCTGCCTTTTCTGAGCAGTTTCTACAGTTCAGTTACTCTTTAAAACAAGATTGTTGAAGCTAATAGTAGTTAGTCACATTCTTTTGAACTTGTTTTGTAAAGTTTTTAAAACTTATCCAAGCCATTTCACACTCGGTTCTGGGTTTGTTGAAATTCATGTAGTTAAGCACCTGTTCCCCATCCATCCCATAAAGGTCAAAGATGGGGGGCACGATCTCTTAAAAGAAGGAAACACATGATAACCCTTTAGGTTACTGCAGATCTGATTCTGTCCTGTGACCCATGTTTGCTCATCAGCAAATCACCTCTGGATTTAGGATGTGATGGGTGTGGCCATTCCCTCCACCATGTACTGCATTGGTAGTTTTGGGCCAACAGAGATAAACCTATTGACCGAGTCATTGCCTGGAACTAGTACATGACTTGGGAAACAGCTACTTCTATTAAAGCTTAATATACGCTGGTGTCTGAGCACCTTTAATGCAGAAAACAAGAAAAAAACTAAGAAACCCCCCCCCAAAAAAAACAAAACCTTAGGTTTCATTCACAAAACATGTACTTATTTTATTTTGGGCATGTTGAAGAAGTAGCAAATGTTTGTTTTTATGAATTAGTTTTAGTATTTTTGTACTTTTACTTAATAACACATCATCACATTATTTTACATGTGTATAAATCAGTTTACATGCACGTATATCAGTTGAAGAAGAACTCTGGGCAAATAAATACAATCTTAACAGTGCAGGTATAGCCCTACTGCAAGGGTTAAGTGATCGTTAGGAGTTATACTCACCCAAACCACAATCCTAACTGGCTGTTAGACCAGTCCCTGGAGCCTCTCTCTCCCCCACAGGGCTAAGGTCCTGTGAGCCTATTCAGTGTATGGGACGTTAGGATGTTGAGGGACCTTCCCATCACCGGAGCAGAGGAAGAGACAGGCTGAAGGGATCGGTCTAGGAGCCAGCCGGGATCGCGGTTAGGGAGTATTTTAGCTCCCTAAGCAAAACGAGCACTTAACCCTTGCAATTCAGGGGTAGCCCCACTGCAAGGGTAAGTTTTGTAATTCCTAGAGTTCTTCTTTAACATGCAACTACACGTGCTTCCTTTCACACACAACAGAGGTAAAAGGCAGAGTGGTCTTTAGAGCATGAAGTCCTTAAAGAGGCCCTGTCACCAGACCTCACTTTTTAAACGAAAACCATGTAGCAGTAGGGGATAATAAGCACTCGCATGTTTTCCCAGTTTTTTTAATCTCTTGCCGTCCGCCCGTATTAAAAAAACGGACGGACGGCACTGCTGCATTTGCGGGTTGCCGGGCTGTGAATGCAGAAGTGATGTGTATTACATCACTTCCGCATTCACCTGTCAGTCATCTGGCTGCTATAGCCAGAGAGAAGAAGCTGATAAAGCAGATCTCTGCTTCATCAGCTTCTTTTGGGGTCCACAGGTGATATTAGGGGTCCTAGAGACCCCTAATGTCTCCATAAAGAGGACCTGTCAGTGTGCCTTTGCTATTATATAGGGGATTGTTATCCCTCTATATAATAGCAATAACAATAAGTGCAAAAAAATTAATATAAATAAAAAAAATAAAAGTAACACATAAAAAAGTAAAATAAAATAAAAGTCACATATAAAAAAAGGGGAAAAAAAACCCCCCAAAATGTTTAAGCGCCTATAAACGTAAATACGCGTCCGGTGCCCCAGCGCGCAAAAATTACAATTGCGCTACACATGTTACATATCGCCGCGAACGTCGCAGTGAGAGCAATCATTTTAGGGCCATCAATCACTGATAACACTAAACTGATGAGCGGTAACAGCTTTTAAAGCGTCGCCTATGGCCAATTTTGGGTATTATCGTTTTTTGAGGTTTCGCGCGCGCACGCAATTTTAAGGCTTGACATGTTTAGTGTCTTTTTACCCGACGTGACCCCATCTTTTATATTTTACCAAAAAATTGGGTAATAATAAATGTTTTATCATTTAATATAGGGGAAACTGTTTTTTTTTTTTAAATTTCGGTAATTTTTCCTTAATATAGTAAAAAAATAAAACCCCCAGTGGTGAATAAATACCACCAAAAGAAAGCTCTATCTGTCCCCAAAAAAGGGTATAAAATTCATTTCAGTACAGCGCTGCATGACGGAATAAATGTCAGTCAAAGTACCGCAGCGCTGAATACTGAAAAATGGCCTGGATGGGAAGGGGGTTTAACACCGCGGATGTCAACTGGTTAAATAATGTTTTCCCCATATTGTCACAGTGTAACATCAGCGGCAATCTGACCACTTCCTTAGAGTGTCAATTGCTGTCTGCGCAGGCCCCTGCTGATATGTAGGTAGACAGCAGAAGCCTGCACAGCTACTTGTTATCAAACATTGGGAATTTAGGCAAGATCATTGATTTGTTATCTGTGCACTCAAAGTAATTAAACAGAAGCACCAGCTGGAGCAGAGTTGTTAGCGCAATATAATGTAATGTAATAAGCCCCCATTCACACCTATGCGTATTGTAATATGCGCGTCTGTCGCGCGACCGTCACGCGGGTTTTTTACCGCGATTCGCGGTAAAAAAGTCGCGCGACCGTCGCGCAATTCCAAAGGCTACTTGGCAGTATACAAATGGAAAACGCCCTACAAAACGGACCAATACGCAGCAAAAAACGCTCCAGGACCTTTTCATGCGTGGGCCGTTTTGTAGTGCGTTCGGGACGGGCGGAAATACGGACAGGTGGGAACGATACCATTGACTACAATGCTATTTATTTTTTTGACCGTTTTGTAGAGCGTTCATCGAGCGTAGGACGTGCTACAAAACGGTCAGGTGTGAATGGGGCCTAAGTGCAGAGAGGAGGCGGAGTGTCACTGCTGGCATTTTTAGATAGCAGGTGAATATTAGTGAGCGTCAAATGCAGCACAATGATTTCCAATGGGATTCTGTTGTTCTGTTCACACCAGACTAGTCCGTTACGATGCAGCCAGAAAAAGTACTGCTTGCACTATTTTAGCTGCATCGAAACGCAACGGAATGCATCAAAAACGCATGCGAACGCATGCAAACGCAAAGCAACTAAAAACCCACAGATTTAGTAATGTCATCTTCTGGGGACTTCCTGTGAGTTGTTAGAAGGGATTAGGAATGGAAGAGCTCTGGAAACATGGCAGACATGGATGCTAATCTAATAATCAAATATCTCTGACCGTCAGCAAGGGGTTCACCCAATAACCACGTTATTATTATTATATTATAATAACCTCCTACGTTGGGTGAGAATGGCTATAGCCAAAACTAACACCATGCCTTCAAACAAAGGAAGCATGTCTGAGCTAGAAAATAAATGGTCTGATTTGCATTTTGAGAAAAAAAAACTGCATCGGAACGCATCGCAATGCAATGTCTAAAACGCATGCATTTTCAATGCAGTTTTGGTGTGAATGAGGCCTCAGGCTGCTGATGTCACATCCAAGATGGTGGCACCCAGCAGAAGTCTGAATATGAAAATATCAATAATTATACGCAGGTTAAACGCATAAAACAAGGTTATTTGACATATGATCTTATGGGACAGTTGTTGCTGATATTAAAAGTATGGGGACAGGGTATTTTTAACAATGTGTAGTCTACTTAAGTATTACCTACCAATTTCCTGTCACACTGCCCACACCACTAGTAGTCTTCACTGTTTTGAGGATATACCGCTGGCTGGCCACAGGCTCTTCAGATGGTTTCGGATTCATGGTCCTCCTCTGCAGTCCCATCCTCTGGTCCCTACTTGAATACAGGATGTAATGCCCAACCGATAGAACTGCAGTGTACAGCCAGGGACCAGGCAATCGTCACACCCAGAAGTGGATTTTTCAGCCAACAGTATCCCTTCAAAAGGGGGGAAATTGGTTCCCCAGGCAGTGGGGGAGGTGATTATTAAAAAAATCTTCCATTCCAGCACTAATTAAGGTGGTGACAGGCTCACTGTGTGAATGAAGTCTAAGTATCACACATGTATATATAACCAAACATTTTCTTTTTTGCACCCACACCTTCATACTGACCTTTTCAACTCTTTCCAAGTTGGCATGTAGCTGCCTCTGAATGCTATATAACGTGGCTAAAGAGAGACTTTCTAAATCAGAAATAGAATCAAGTAATTTAGAATCTTGTGTTCCAGGGATTCTTTCCAACTCTTCTTGCAGTTTCTTCAGTTGTTGTTCTAGAGCATCTCTCTGCTCCCGCGCCAGTTCACATTCCATGCTAGCTGTAGTCGCCCGCTCATTGGCTTCCTCTGCCTCTTTCTTCCAGGCATCGCAGGCCTGATGAGAGAGAGATAACTGAACCAATAAAAGAAGGACATAAGTCTGCATACTGATTACAAATGACTTCAAAGCTGAACTTCAGACAGATATTGGAAAAGCAACATGTGAACATTTACAGCATTACAGGTAAGAAGAGTAGCGAGATAAATCATTAGTGTGCTGTTCTTTCATTGTCCAATAATGGACTAGGGCAGATCCTGGACCAGGCTGAATTGCTCAAATGCAGTGTAGTCTACAGTAAGGTTACCATTAGTCTCCTTTTTTCCAGAGAAATTCGCCGTTTTGAGGGGTCTGTCCTTGCGAAACAAACGACCCCGGCGGCAGTGAACTGCAGTCATATACAGCCAGTTTTGTACATAATGTGATGGCTACCTCTAGGCTCACCTCACTGTGGCACTTAATATTGACCCCTAAACCCTGTGTTACTTACTACTGACCCCTGAAACCTGCTTTACTACTGAACCCTGCGTTACTTTCTACTGTCCCCTACTCATGACCCCCTGTACTCCATGCATTACCTATTAATGTCCCCTTTATTCCATGTATTGCCTACTGATGACCCCTGTACTCCATTCGTTACCTACTCATGACCCCTGTACTCCAAGCGTTTCTTGCTCGACCTTTTTATTACATGTGTTACCTACTCCTGACCACTGCACTCTGTATGTTACATACTCCTGATTCCTTCTCTCTGCTCCATGCACTCTTGACCCCTGTGTTCTGCATTACGCACTCCGGACCCCTGAAGTCCCTGTGTTACACACTCCTGAACAATATGCATCACACATGCTTGACCCATAGTAGAGCAGGCTCAGGGTTTATGTAACCATGCATCTTCAGCCACTCCCAATGTTACCACAATTTGCTCGAAACGCATAATTCGCCTCATTCACTGCAAGCGCAGCATTATTTCACTCCTTAAAGTGCCCAGGCCACTTTGCCTTTACATCTTCAATGTCTGCTTCCTCTTCTAGAAGTCTGTGTCCAATTGTTTCAGGGCATGCTAAATGGGGGGCGTGAATTTGTGGGTGTGGTTGCAAATGTGGATGTGGTTTCATGGGTGTTTTTACACGTGGGCATGGTCAGTAGGGTGTCCCCTGATTTCATTTTGAAAATGTGGTAACCTTAGTCTACAGAGTGGTCCAGGGCTGACTGTTCTGTCTGGTAAGAGTGCTTGAATCACAAAACTGGCTGAACAAAAGCATTTGTATGAGTACATTTAGCAGTTGTCCTGCAGTGTAGCTATTAAAGAATATTGTAAACACAATGAGAGGCATTTATCAAAACTGGAGCAGACAAAAACTGGAGCAGATGTGCATGGCAACCAATCACCTTCTTTCTTCAGTTTGTTTAGATAAGATTTGAAAATGAAAGAGAGAAGCTGATTGGTTGCCATTCAGTTTTCTACATCGACTTCCCTTGAATTACTTTTAATAAAAATAGATGCCAGTGTGCATCAACTGCTCACCTGCTTAGCTTGTTTCCATGAGTCCTCCCATTGTTTGATAGTATTACTGGCCTCTTCCAGCTCCTGACGTAATCTAACAAGCTCGGCTCCACCTGCCCCAGACGGGAACGCAGGTGACGTCCCTGGAGAATAGCTGCCCGACACAAAATGTTCCCATATACTGTTATTCATGCCATTTAAGCCTAGACACATAAGAACAAAACAAGGAAAGCAAGGTAAACTTTAACCATGGACATTTACAATTTATAAACTCAAACAATGAATACTAAAAACAAAACTAGCACAGGAATAACCCTATTAAATAAGGCTCTGACCTCCACATTAATTTTCTGCCGTGCAGTCACTTACCTAGTGAGCCGTGGGTGGCTGATGTACTGAGAAAGGCGCTTTCTGATTGGCTGTGTGGTCCAGAAGTCTGGTGCATAAAGTGTGAGGAGATGCTGACAGGTGGAGATGGAGATGTGGAATGGAAGGAGGCTGAGCTTCCTAATGGTCCAGGGATGTTTACAGGAGCAGAGCTCTGCATTAGGCTGCCACCTGCATTTACAAAGAACAAATCAATGCGTTACAATAAAATATAAAAGGCAAGAAAAACAGAAGCTTCAGATGGAAACTGACACTGTCAGACTCCACGCACTCTGGTGGTTACAAGGGAATAAGAGCCGCACTCCATGATCAAACCAATAATACACTTTTAATCCATAAGGCTGAGCATTTCCAACATACAGAGACTCCCCGCTTAGAAGCCGCCTGTTCTACGCATTTCACCCGTTTAGGGCTTAAATGGGTGAAACGTGTTAGAGCAGGCGATTTCTAGGCTGGAAGTCTCGGTATTCTAGAAATGCTCAGCCTAATGCATTTAAGTGCATTGTCGGTTAGATCACGCTGTGTTGCTCTTTTTCGCTTGCGTTGTTATTTTGGAGTGAGGACGGCTCCCAGCCTACGCCCATAACTACCCGGATACTGGAGGCTCGGCGTCAGACAAAATTGCTTCGCTAATAAGTGCCTGATTGGATGGCAGGTACTGTTCTGCTGACAATTCGCTGCCTTGCTCCTTAGATCTTTCAATCAAAGGATGTCGGGCAGGAGCGGACTGACAGGGTCACCCACTGAGTGAATTCCAGACATTTCATCAAGCTAGCTTGGTACAATGTAAATATATATATATTCCCATGGCAAGGCCACAGGGATCCTGTGACACACTGTAGTACAGGGTGCCCACAATTTTTTGTGTTAAGATCTACTTTTCAAATGATGAGCTACATGAGATCTACAAACGAAAAAAAACATTCCTCGCTCTCTCTCCTGGCTGTCTTTCCTCGCTCTCTCTCTCCTGGCTGTCTCTCCTAGCTGTCTTTCCTCGCTCTCTCTCTCCTGGCTGTCTTTACTCGCTCTCTCTCTCCTGGCTGTCATTCCTTGTTTTCTCTCCTGGCTGTCTCTCTTCACTCTTTTGGCTGTCTCTCCTTGCTCTCTCCCCTGGCTGTCTCTCCTCTCTCTCTCTCCTGGCTGTCTCTCCCCGCTCTCTCTCTCCTGGCTGTCTCCCTTCTCTCTCTCTCCTGGTTGTCTCTCCCCACTCTCTCCCCTGGCTCACCTTGCTGTATTTTGCACACAGCGCAGCCAGGCC